AGAAGAGAGTTTGGGTATGCAGAAGCAATGGTAGATATTTTGGGTAAAAACGAAATATTCATCCTGTTGTATTATTGTCATCCGACACAGTTATTCATCCAACAACACAGGTGGTTACAGGAGATAATCCTGAAAAGGAAAATCTGGTAGAATTTCCTAAATCCAAGGAGCTACTCAGCACCAGCAGCAAGCCAACTGATGTAACAGCTCCTCAAAGGATTACAAATATGAATAAAAATAAAAGGCTTAAGGTTACAATTTGATCTGAAATTCGAAAGATAGAAAAGAATTTTACAACAAACTTTTGGAAATTGAGGAGAGAAAATTAACAGAAAAAAAAATAAAAAATTACATTCTACAGGAAAAAAATGAATTAATAGAACAATATTTAGAGAGATCTAATCCACACCTTGATATCCTTTAAAAGGTTTAATTTTTTTGTTCAAAGAATTTAGATGTTAAGTTTTGAATTACATATTTTAAGAGAATTTTGTTATGTTTTTCTATATTCATTTAGATCAAATTTATATTAGTATAATTTAAGTTTTAAATTTTACAGTGTTTTTATTTTAGTTAGAGAATTTCGTTGTTTTTTTTGTTTATTTATTTTTTCATTATTTAGTTAATTAATAAACACTACTTGTTTTAAATTTATTTCAAAAAGCTTTTATTAAAAATACATACACATTACATACTAAATTACAAAATTCAAGCTATTCATTACTTCATTTCTTTTTCTTATCCCAGTTTGTTCATCCTGATTTTCATTTCCTGCATCTCGCCCTGCTTGTCCAACAATTATTTCATTCTGTGCTTCTGGTGCTGGTGGAACTTCAAAATCACGTAAATTGTCTTCTATTGAAAGGTTGTGCAATACAGCACAGGCCCTTATGAAGTGAACACATAATTAGACATTTCTTAATTTCAAATGTTAAAGTTGTCTGAATTTTTGTTTGCGTATGCCGAAGCAGTGCTCAATTACATATCTATTGTTCGAAAGAAGATAATTGTAATTTCTTTGGCGACGAGTCAAATTACCTCTATCTTGAAATGGAGTTAGGCAATATTTGAAAAAAGGGTAACCACTGTCTCCAATAATAAAGTGGTTTCCACATTTTTCTTGAAGTGTTCCAAATAATGGTGATGTCCGAAACACTCGACTGTCATGTACGGATCCTGGGTATCCGACAAATATATCCCTTATTTTCCTTTTATGATGGCAAGCAACTTGTGCCTGTAAAAAATAAAATATATTATATAAACATTTAAGATATTATACTTGAATAACATTTAAATTGAAATTTAAAATTTTTCTTTCTTACCTAGATCGAAAAAAAGTGCTTCCTGTTAAGGTATGAATCTGGATCATGCTGTGGCTTGTCAATTTCAATGTGTGTACCGTCAATGACGCCAATAATGCCAGGAAATTCATCTTGCCTAAAGTGGCTTTCAATTTTCTCCTCGTTAGTTGGTCATTTTATAAATTCCGCAGACAAATTGGATAAAAAATACGTAAATCTCTTTACAATTTTATGAAGAGAGCTAATCGTAATCCCAAACCGGTCAGATACATCCCTTAAGCTTACAGCTTCATTGCTTGCATACCATAAAAAGGCCACAACTGTTTTGAAAGGGCTGATTTTTCACCTTTTTGGTAGTGATAATATTGCGAAGCTTCATATCTGTTTGATAATTGGGTTGCTACTTCCCTGCTTATCCTAAAATGCCCCAAAAACTGTTGATCGTTGAATTGGAGCACAGTTTCCTCACAAAAGTTCTCATTTTTTGGAACTTCAAACAATTCGTTCCATTCATCCAAATCTTCGTCACTTGAACTTAAATACATCATTGGCATCATCTTGAAAGTAGATTTCAGATAAATGTTTGTTTATACGTATATCAAAAAGACACAGAATTATAGGTGAGGATTTGTTCTGAATTTTAAATCCCTCCGTCTATCACCGGATCTGTCGAACCCATTACGAGCACGTTCAGAACTTAACACATTTGTACCACGAACAACGAATTTTTAATCCCGAGTAACAAATTTTATCACCGCAAACTGAAGCTATTGTATTTAAGCTTAAAAAAGTAGAGTTGTTGTCGGAAGACTGATACATTTGGCACCAGCGCAGTTATTATTACCTGAAGAAGAATAATCGTTCTCTTGTTCAGAAATTGATGAATATCGATATACTATTATTCAAGATATTTGAACTGGTTCAGACTTTTAAGTGTCTCTGTATAGGGCAGTATAGCTTTCACTATACTCTCTGACGGCTACATGTATGTTTGACTTACTGCTTAATGATTTAACGTTTCGGTCACCCTGGTGGCCTTTTCCAATTGAAAATGATAATTCTGAAGACAATATATTTTTTCTCGGGTGATTTTTTCCAAACAGTTATGAAGAGTGGGCCATCCGTTGGTTTATTTTTTAAATTGGCATTAAAACTACACTCTGCAATAATATGTAACACTCGATACTTTGTTCAAAAGAATACACCTTCTGATTATTTATGAAAAACAGTTTCAGTTAAATGGCTGCCGAGGCTAGCCTGGCAGTAGTCCATCCTCTTAACCCAATTTTGAAGCACATTTTAGATAGTTTGTGGGTCTATTTCATCAATAGCTCGGCGGACATTTTCCTTAAGAACGTCAATTGTGTGAGGATCGTTAGTGTAACAGCGGTCCTTAACAGTACCCCATAGGAAGTAATCCATGGGCGTCAATTCACAGCTGCGGGCTGGCCAATGAACGTCTGCAAACCGGCTAATAACGCGATGACCGAACGTAGTGTGTAAAAGATAGATTGTTTTACGGCTGGTGTGGCACGTTGCGCCATCCTGCTGGAACCAGATATCGTGCAAATGCATGTCGACTAACAGTGGCCACAAAAAACTCGTCAACATGTCTCTATAGCGTCCCCCGTTTACCGTCACGCTGTTACCATCTTCATCTTGAAAAACATAGAGACCAATATTCCCACCACTCCAAAAGCCACACCAAACAGTTACTCCTTTTGGATGCATTGGTTTTCTATGATTTCATGTGGATTTTCAGAGCCCCAAATCATACAGTTCTGCTTGTTAACGTAACCTTACAGATGGAAATGGGCTTCGTCCGAAAAGATGATTTGGCGACCAAAAGTTACATCCGTCTTCAATTGACTTAGAGCCCATACAGAGAAACTATATCGAAGCGGATGGTCAATTTGTTTTAACTCTTGCACAAGTTGCACATTGTAAGGAAATAATAGCAGGTCGTTATGCAATACTCTCCGCACAGAAGTGCGACTGATGCCCACTTGTGGTGCTCTGTGACGAATTGACATTCTTGCGTTTTCACGCACGATATGGTCAACAACAACAATGTTGTCGGCTGTATGTACAGGTCGAACACGGTCATATCTTCTGTTATCCACAAGCAGGCCAGTTCCATGAACCTTCTTCACGAATTTTCGTATACCAGTCACGGACTGAGGTTCATTCCGACCAAATAGTCTTCTCAATTTTCGCAAAGTTTCTTACTCACTTTGAAAATAGTTTTTCAATATTGCCACCTTGTTCAAGATTAAAACGATCCACTGCTCACAGCGGGAGTTTGACACAATATATCTGTCAATATGTTCAACTTGGAAGGGTTACCAACTGTCAAAATAACACCAACTCAAAAAAAACAACTGATGGCCCACCCCTTAGTTATTTCACTGAAGGACGACATTTATGTCGTTTCTTATACCTATAAAACGTAAGCGGCAAAGCATTGAATCCATTTTCACGATTCTAATTTTTCATTTAAGCTCCCGTAATAGATCAACTAGACAAGTTATAGTTCCAACCATTGATCCTATAATGTACTTAAGTCACTTACTCTTCATCAGTAATGTTCTTTTCATCCATGATATCATAAACGACTCTGGTGAAATTAAAGACAGACTTTCTCGCTTTTGTCATGGGGCAAACAGTGACAGCTGGAAACGGGATGGCGTGCAGTGGAGACTCCTTAGTTGCAAAGGTTACTATTACTGGGCTTGTGACGTATTTGTAGTATATCCTGATGATCCAAAATCCACAAGCGGCTATTGACAGTGAAATAAGGAGTAACCAAACAATCCTAAAAGGGAATTCAACTCAGTTCCTCTTGGCTGAAGATCCCAAATTGAAATCATGAACTTGATTAGAGATCATGGAAATAAGATATTTCTTATGTAGATCTGATCTACTTATAATATGCTCCAAAACCAAAGGAGTTTTAAAGTTTCCCTTGTACCAATACTTCCATGTTCTTGAAGTGATCTGAGATATGTAGTCACTTGTATCAACGGTTTTTTTTTCAGATGGAGGTAATTCGATTCTTGGATCTGAGATAATGTGGAATACAGTTCAAAAAAATGGATTCATAAGCATAATTAAAAAATGGCCTTACCTTTCACATACTGTCCGATTCTCTGCAAGGTACTTGAAACCATGGATACTTGTATTTTCACAGTACTCCCTAAAGTACCTTCTGGTACCATTTAAGTGAAGTTTTGCTTTTCGTTGCCTGACATTTTTAACTTGTCTATTACTTTGCGTAGTTGGATCTTTGGGCTCTTGGTTAGAAAGATCGACTCCATTTGATATCGCATAAGGCATTATCGAATGATTCAAATGTGAGTTGGTAGCGTGAACTGTAGAAGCTATTAACATAGTGATGCTGCTTATGGGTTTATCTATTCGCACTTTAACCGTGTTTAACATGAAGGTATGATCCCCTAGAGGATAAGGCTATATTTCAAAATTACCTTTTAATTGTCATCTAGGTGCAAAGTGTAATAATTGCTTAACTACAAAAAGTGAATTGTATTTTCTGGGTGGGTTATAGCTGGTTGCATCCAGCGTGATAAATGATAGCAATGAATAGCTCGTTGTCATGAGGACTCTAAATTGCATAAAACTGCATAATAGCGATACTAGGAAACTTGCTTGTAAGACTGCTCGAAAATAGTTTGCTATATTGTGTCATATGCGTGTCAAAAATTATTTTTTTATACGAGATGTAAACGAAAAATTGATACTTCTACTTCAAAAATTGTACAACCTAAGATTGCAACAGATTCGTACAGATAAAAAATACACTATTTCTGCCAGAGATAAGAGAGAAAATCCAGTAAACAATCCGAGAAGGCCTCCGAAGTTAGCCAAGAAGTCAGTTGGTCCATATAATTCATTTCTCTCTAGTGACAAAAAGAATTCTTCTCTGAAAAATACTGACAATCTGGCATACAAGTACCTGAAATAATTAGATTATTGTGAATAATGCATGATTTTTAGCCAACGTTAATGAAGTCAACAATAATTTGATCTTGTCCTTTGTCAAATGAGCCATTCGTGTTTATGAATAACTCAAATAACCACGTTGAGGACTACACATTTTCTTAATGTGACAGCCATTGTGCTTCTATTCCCAATTGAAACAGCAAGAAAAAACATTTGAAAAATGGTTAGGTGAGAGAGGCCAGCCAGCCGCTATAGTCATTTGGATGATGTTGTATTTTATTCTTAAATTTCAATGTCAACCTTTCCAATAAAACCAGAAATGTTCATTTCAGGTCTGAGGCTTCGGCTTGACCCTCGGAGATTGTATTCTCGCTATCTCACGAAGACCCTTTTCAATACATATCCCAGACCATGTGTGCTCCGCGGTCCGGCGCACGACTTCATTCTGTAGTCTAGGAGCGTGCTCCTCAGTGCGCATAAGGTGCAAAGCGCTTCACTCGCCCAAACGACCAGTTCCTCTGGAGAATTCCCAGGGTCGGCGCGCTTGCATGTAACTAGCTTATTTCCTACGACCGTCGTCTAGAAGTTTACGGCCACCTAGAGCCGTTGGACCCAATCTACCTGGTCGTCGGACAATAGTCCCACGGGCAGAACTCCCAGGGCTGTCGGGCCCAATCTACGTAACCGTCAAACATATATTCCACAGCCCACGGGCAGAACTCCCAGCGCTGTCGGGCCCAATCTACGTAGCCGTCGGAAAAATGTTCCAGGGCTCACGGACGCAGCCACCAGGGCCGTCGGGCCCAATTTACGTTACCGTCGGACAAAGGTTCCACAGTCGACGGCTGAAACTCCTAGGGCTGCCGGGCCCAATCTGCGTGGCCGTCGAACAAGGGTTCCACGGCGCACGGGCAGGACTCCCAGCGCTGTCGAGCTTAATCTAAACTGCTGCCAGGCAGAGGTTCAACAGTCGACGGATGGAACTCCTAGGGCTGTCGGGCCCAATCTACGTGCCCGTTAAACAAATGTTCCACGGCCCACGGACAGAACTCCCAGCGCTGTCGGACAAAGGCTCCACAGCTGACGGACGGACCTGCCAGGGCCGTCGGGCAAATCTACGTGGTCGTCGGACAAAGGTCTCATAGGCAAAACTCCAAGGGCTGTCGAGCACAATCTACGTAACCGTCAAACATATATTCCACAGCCCACGGGCAGAACTCCCAGCGCTGTCGAGCCCAATCTACGTAGCCGTCGGAAAAATGTTCCAGGGCCCACGGACGCAGCCACCAGGGCCGTCGGGCCCAATCTACGTTACCGTCGGACAAAGGTTCCACAGTCGACGGCTGAAACTCCTAGGGCTGCCGGGCCTAATCTGCGTGGCCGTCGAACAAGGGTTCCACGGCCCACGGGCAGAACTCCCAGCGCTGTCGAGCCCAATCTACGTGGCCATCGGACAAAGGTTCCACGGCCCACGGGCGGAACTGCCAGGGATGTCGGGCTTAATCTAAACTGCTGCCAGGCAGAGGTTCAACAGTCGACGATGGAACTCCTAGGGCTGTCGGGCCCAATCTACGTGCCCGTTAAACAAATGTTCCACGGCCCACGGACAGAACTCCCAGCGCTGTCGGACAAAGGCTCCACAGCTGACGGACGGACCTGCCAGAGCCGTCGGACCCAATCTACCTGGTCGTCGGACAATAGTCCCACGGGCAGAACTCCCAGGGCTATCGGGCCCAATCCACGTAACCGTTAAACATATATTCCACAGCCCACGGGCAGAACTCCCAGCGCTGTCGGACAAAGGCTCCACAGCTGACGGACGGACCTGCCAGAGCCGTCGGACCCAATCTACCTGGTCGTCGGACAATAGTCCCACGGACAGAACTCCCAGCGCTGTCGGGTTAAATGTACGTTGCCGTCGGACAAAGGCTCCACAGCTGACGGACGGACTTGCCAGGGCCGTCGGGCCAAATCCACGTGTCCGTCGGACAAAGGTCTCACGGGCAAAACTCCAAGGACTGTCGAGGACAATCTACGTGGCCGTCCAAGAAATGTTCCATGGCTCACGGACGAAACTTCCAGCTCCGTCAGGCTAAACGTACGTTGCCGTCGGACAAAATCTCCACAGCTGACGGACGGACTTGCCAGGGCCGTCGGGCAAATCTACGTGGCCGTCGGACAAAGGTCTCACGGGCAAAACTCCTAGGGCTGTCGTGCATAATCTACGTGGCCATCCAAGAAATGTTCCATGGCTCACGGGCGAAACTCCCAGGGCCGTCGGGATTAATCGACACTACCGTTAGGCACAGACGGGTGGAACTTCTAAAGCGGCCGGGCCTAATCCACGTGGCCGTTAAACAAATGTTCCACGGCCCACGGGCAGAACTCCAAGTGCTGTCGGACCCAATCTACCTGGCCGTCAAACAAATGTTCCACTGCCCACGGGCAGAACTCCTAGCTCTGTCGGACCCAATCTACGTGGCCGTCGGACAAAGGTTCCACTGCCCGCGTGCGGAGCTCCCAGTGCTATCGGGCTCAATCTACACTGCCGTCGGACAAAGGTTCCACTGCCCATGGGCGGAGGTCCCAGTGCCGTCGGAATCAATCTACACTACCGTCAGGCATAGGTTCCACAGTCGACGGGTGTAACTCCTAGGGCTGCCGGGCCCAATCTACATGGCCATCGGACAAAGGTTCCACGGCCCACGGGCGGAACTGCCAGGACCGTCGAGCCCAATCTACGTGACTTTCGGACAAATTTTCCAAGGCCCACGGGCGGAACTCTCAGGGCCGTCGGGCTCAATCTACACTGACGTCAGGCAAAGGTTCCACAGTCGACGGGTGTAACTCCTAAGGCTGCCGGGCCCAATCTACGTGACCGTCGGATAAAGGTTCCACGGCCCGCGGGCGGAATTTCCAGGACCGTCAGGCCCAATCTACGTGACTTTCAGACAAATTTTCTAAGGCCCACGGGCGGAACTCTCAGGGCCATCGGACTCAATCTACACTGCCGTCAGGCAAAGGTTCCACAGTCGACGGGTGGAAATCCGATGGCTGCCGGGCCCAATCTACGTGGCCGTCGGACAAAAGTTCCACGGCTCACGGGTGTAACTCTCAGCGCTGTCCGGCCCAACCTACGTGGCCGTCCAACAAAGGTTCCACTGCCCACGGGCGGAGCTCCCAGTGCCATCCGGCTCAATTTACATTACTGTCGGACAAAAGTTCCACAGTCGAGTGGCTGACTTCCTAGCGCCGGTGGAAAGTGCTGCCTGAGGAGGTGATAGCAGACAGTATTCAAATACCCTCAATAAAAAGATATGCTTTAACAACGGGTTGATCAAAGCTCCTAATGAAGACGTACTGAGCGTATCCGAACAAAGTTTTAAAGGCATGAAGTTGATTCTACAAGAGTGGCCCTTTACAAGAGCACCCCCGATATATCCGGTTACTATCGGAATAAAGATAAGGGGGTTGGCATTCCAATATGGACGATTCAGCAGAGCCATAGCTGAAGTGAAACGGAGTATAGTCTCTAGAGAAGAAGCGTCCACTTGATTGAAAAGAGAGAACAAAGGGAATTTGATAAGAAAGAGGAGAGCTTCGTTGACCAAATGGAAATGCTTGGAGAAGACTGAGAAAGTAATCTCAAGTTTAACAGTGAAGGCCCAAAATATTGAACGCCTCCTACTCCAGGGTTAAGCCAACAGACAGTCTTGGTCATAGGTCTGAGGAAGACGATGTAGTATCACTACCCGGAATGATGTTGGACGAGACATGGCATATGTCCTTAACGGATTTCCTCCTGGATGTTAAGGAATTGGAACCGATAGTTCCTCAGGCTGATGTGTTTTTGGCTAAGTAAGGAGCTATCTATCAACGCTGTCGTAAAGTAAGAAAGCCTAAATATTTTTTTGCACTGAAAGCCGTTTCGTTTTATCAACTTTCAGAAAACTCTCTCCATCCTTCAGCAAAACGTATATTTGTGAAAAGCTTACTACATGACGTGCCTACCATTCGGAGTCCTGACCACACCACGATTCTTTGCTAGGTTTACCAACTAGATAGCTAAAATGGTGGACAATTTCCTCATAGCAAGTCAGAGTCGAGACGAACTCAAATAAAGACCACAGTTAGCGATAGAACTGCTCACAAAATTAGGCTCGATGATACTCGTAATCATAAAAAACACAGTCCATCGCTATGATGGAGCACTTGGGCGTTATATGGAATTTCCAAAAAGCCCAGAAACGTACCTCACAAATTTTAATGCATTCGCAAACAGGGGTTGATCCAGAGAGGGCCCTAGAACTGGCGCGAAACGAAAGACGGCTGAAATGCGCATTTGTGCTGCCTTTAAGAAGTCTACACTACCGCAGAGCACAGAAAACATCCGGAAGTCTCCTCAATCCTGAAAGATTGTAATTACCAAACTGGTGACGGAAAACCTCCGTTGATAGCTGACGTCGTGTGGTTTACGAAGGTGATAATCTGACAATAGATGCGTCCGACTTGGGTTGGAGAGCAACCTTGAACAATTTTAGGAATGCGGAACGGGAACCAACTGCACTGGCACTTCATCTGAAGGGGGGCAGTTCTCAAGAGAAATACAATGGTACGTCGGAACTAGATTCTACGGCTTATGACAGCAAGGAAGGGGGAAAGAAATCGATCACGCTGCTGGAGCTGATAAAAGAATTACTGGGAACTTATTTCAAATCAACATCACGCTGTCACCTCAGTATATATATTCCACAGGCTTTCCGCTCCCAGACTGGCCGCTTTCGGACGTAACAACATAACAAATTTTTGTGTGGGGATACCGGAAGTAGACCTCTTTGCAACAAACTGGTCGGCAGTAATATCAAAGTACATCAGCCTAGTGCTAACAGATTACAACGCTTACTCCTCTAATGCCTTCAGCAAACCGTGGGATCACCAAATGTTGTGGATATTTCCACAATCGGCCCTCACCCCGATTTTCATGAACGAGATGAGTTCGGCGTTAAGATAGGTAGGTAGGAACAGGCGTCTTGGCGTCCAGACTTTCAGAGCAGGACAGTAGAAGGACCGATAATGCTTCCGAACTTGACGGTGGATCTCCGTCATTAGTAACGGCGACCCACCACCTAGGTGAGACGACTTGAAAATGGAGGCCTAGAAGGTTCAGGGTGGTCAGAGCAAATCTCTCCACATAGGAGTCGTGCATGGAATGGGTGGAAGTCCTTGACAAAACAAAACATGAGCAGTGCGGCTATTCCAAAGGCAACAAATCTGTCCATTTGTTTGCTACTTGTTTAGAAGTTGTAACTTATCCCTGAACATAATAACATTAAACATGTCGGTAGTAAGAACCTTTGCCGACCCGGACAAATCCGAGCCTTCCCCCTCAAGTATTTTAGTACAGAGGATGATTAAATCCATCCAGTTGAAACGGCAGCCTCAGAGGAAATCCATATGGAGCGTTTTCACCATCATATAGTAGCTGACTTCCAGCCCACCTGAAGAAGTATCTTCCAGGTGTCTCGCGAATATTGCTGCCTAGCATCAGGTACACGCGGATACACATATCGAAGGAGTTTTTCCAAACAAAATATAATTCTATTATCCTTTAGCCAACATTTGGCTTTAAGACGCATTCGAAGAGATTTCGACAATCAAGTTGGCAGATTAATAACCCACGGGGCATCAATTTGAACGTGGTGTATTCTGAGGATGGTATCTGTTTCTGCATCCAGAAGAAACACCACGAAAAGCCGTCTGTTAAAGCTGAAAAGTATGTCTCATTGGCAGCAGCATATTCAGTAATAATTTTCTCACATCGCAAATATCACTGATTTTATATACATGCAGACCAATACACACAATCATCCAGATGCTATTTTGCTACTCTGCTACTTAACCAGAGTATACTCTACAGGCTATCTCAGCATTCAGCAACCAACAAAGCATGATGGTGAACTGACTTGCAGCTTACATCATGGTTATTGAGCGAGTCATGTCGTTGAGTTATTTCTCTATAGATCGACGCTTTTGATGACCCTCACAGCGCTCATAGGGAGCAAACGCGGAATCTACTATTTATACACTAGGAACTCTCTAGGCATTAAGTTGACATTTTGTCAATTTGTTTTAAGCATTATAGGTTTTTTAAGTAGTAGCCCTGCTGGTCTGAAAACTTGCCTCCTCGGGGCGTACATGGACATGCGGATAGGGATGAGGACTGAAAAGGCTGTTCTATACTTGGGGTAGCGAGAAGAAAGTTAAGACGCAATCTTCGAGGGTGAAGACTCGTCTAGACCCTGCATATCCGTTTTTTAACTGTCGGGGGAAGAACGGTTTTATAAGTTATTTTAATTTCACATTTTTAATGGCCCAGCCTGTACATTATTACGTCAATGGACTCAAACTACATAAGAAATTGCCCTGAATCGGACGTTCGTGACTTAAAACAGTATGAAAAGTTTTAGGAGCATGTGACATTTACTTTGAAATATTAAGCAACATTTACTTGATGATACGATTACATTGTCGAGGCGCATAGAGTCACGGACTGCACGTTAACAACGCCGATGGTAAAATAGTACGTACGATTCATTGGTAGGCCTTCTATAGCGAGCTCGGTATGTTTTCTCGTGATTCAAGGCAGACTGGGAGAGCTGCACTTCATAGTTCAATTCTACACAAGATGGTCTACAATCACAGAAAAACGTGCGATTTCGATCGCTGGTTCTGTGTGCGCCTTCATACATTTGAAGCATAACTAGAAAGAGATGTTTGTACACCAATGCTATGATTCGCTTCATTTCGTACTTACATTCTACGACTCTTGAACACGAAGATATACTGAAAAATCCGTATCCGCAAATCTTGGTGGAGGTGTTCCCTGAAATGTCATATCAATGTTCTGTTTTATGTCGATATTCCGTTTTCAATGTTTTTGCAATCGGACGTACATGTAGAGCTGAGGCCGTCTGTCACCATACGTCTGTCAGACAGCATTTAGTACATAATTTTGTATGAACAAATGTCGTGCTGAATTTTGTAGAAACTGTCCTAAGTGATATCATACTGAATGTGTGCAAACGACTATTGCGCAGTACAATGGCTGATATAACCTGAAACGCTTTCATTAGTTTCGCGACACTCCCCTGCGTATAATAATATGTCTTTATTTTTTAGTTAAAAGAATAACAAAGAAAAAAAAACTCATTTGATGAGGGAGGCGGCATTCAACATAGTTGCTCTTCCATGCAACCCCCGGAAATAATACTAAACTAACAGTTAGAGAAAAATGATGGGCGTAATTAATACAACAAAAATGAAACTATTGTGCACTTTTCACATAGGATTTGACTCTATTTCGGAAGCTGCTAAGTGAGACCTAATTTTTTTACTGTATCTGGCAATGAATTGTATATTGTAGATGCAACATAAGTGAATGACTTTTTAAATTGTTCAGTACTATGTAACGGAACATCATAGAGATTACAAGAACGAGTTTCCCTATCATAAAGATCTGATCTCTTAACAGGTTTGGTATAGAGGTAAAGTGATAGCTGGGTTTTGTTAATATTGTAAGTTAAGTGAGCAAGATGTATCAAAAGGCACTCATCCATGTTGAACCAGCCAGAGTTCTGCATTTTTTGAATAGAACGTTTGTCTCTAGTAGTAAGAGCAGGCCAGTATACAATATCCGCATACGACAAGGAAGACAATATCAACGAATCGCATAGATTCAGCCTGACTTCAGTAGAGAGAGAATTCCTGTGAAGATAAAAACTCCTTAATTTAGCATAAGCTTTTTGTAAGAGATGCTTAATGTGGGGAACAAATTTAAGAGTATTATCTATATACAGGGACTCCGCAAAGTTGGGGTTTTCCTTTTCAGAAACAACTACCCTTGAAATAACAAAGGTAATGTGTAGTGAAACTAGGGCGACCAAGTAAAAAAAATAAAGGAAAATGTAATCACTCTCCAGTTGACGAGAAGGGCTAAGTACGTCTCTGCCCGAAATCATACCGCTCCAACAGAAAATGAAGTCAGCTGATGCGCTACCGAGCAGACGCAGGCAAACAAGGAAGGCAAAATGTTGCGTAAAAAGTATAGGTATTGCATCCCGTCTAATCGATTTGGGAGAATAAATGGTCCAATGAGCATACCGTTCACCATGCCAGCCCAAACATTCACCGAAAATGTTTGTTGAAAATGTGCCCGACGGACAGCGTGAGGATTTTCTACTGACCAAACATGAGTGTTGCGAAAGTTATTCACCCCATTACGCGTGAACGTAGATTCGTCTGTCACCAATATGCACTTCAAAAAGTCCGGATTATTGTCATGTTGATGCAACAACCACTCACAAAACTGCACACTTGCTGGAAAATCGTCAGGTTGAAGGGCTTGTACACGTTGGACGTGAAACGGATACAGCCCCTCTTCACGCAGCGTTTGCCACACTTTGGGTTTTGACACTTGCACTTCTCTAGCCACGCCTCTAGTGCGTGTTGAGGGATTCTCGTCTACGTGATTACCTCTACACGCGTGACCGTAACCGTCGGTTGAAGGTTGCATACTGACCTGACACACTGACCCCGACCCAGTTCTGTCGTCGGGTTGAGCTAGTGTCCTAGTACCACTCGGGGATGTCGCGGCTACAGGACAGTATTCAGATATTTTTGATGTTGCAGAGCCCTTTATCTCGGTTCCCTTAAGACATTGGTGTATATGGTACTAAGAAAAATTGCTTATGTTTTCAAGATCTACACGTCATGTAAAGGAAAACCCCAACTTTGCGGACACCCTGTATAGTCCCAGATTTTTACATTGGTTGCTTGCTTGTAATACAGTGTTATTAATGCAGATTCTAAAATTCTGGTTGTCAGTAACCTCACACGGTCTTGATCCAAAAATGAGCAATTTAGTTTTATTTTCATTTAATACGATGCTGTGGGCTTTTACATATCTAGATAAGTACTCAAGATCAGAATTGATACGCATGCAGGCAACATAAGCATCATCAAGTTTTAAAGAGTTATACGATTGTGTATCGTCTGCATATTGATGTGTACAGCAAAATTCCAACTGACTTTTCAAATCTGACGTATACAGTGAAAACAACAAAGGTCCTAAAATACTACCCTGTGGCACACCTCTGGCAATACTACGAAACTGAGATATGTGTGCCCATTAAATTCTATGCACTGGGATCTGCCTGACAGGTAGCTATTAAAGAAATCTGCAGCCATATTGCTTAGTCCCAGAGATTCAAGTTTCGAACATAAGATTGAATGATCTATTGTATCAAAAGATTTATTGAAATCGAGCAAAATCAGGCAACAATACATCTTATTGTCACATGCTCTGAATAAGTCATCTGTATCGGTTGCAAGAGCGGTTGTAGTACTATGGTCAGAGCGAAAGCCCGATTGTGTGGTAGGAAGTATATTATTAGATGTAATAAATGTTTTTAGTTGGAAAGCTACGATTTTTTCCAATATTTTCGAAAAGGTAGGCAGAATACTTATAGGGCGAAAATGAGAGAATTCTTTTCGATTACCAATCTTTGGGGTAGAGTATTTCCAGCTGGACGGGAAAGTGTTGTTAGCAAGGCAAAAATTGAAAAAAGTAATTATGTTACTTAGATAGGGAAAAACTAGTTGAATCATCTTGAGGTCAATCTTGTCAGTACCAGTTGAATTAGATTTCATTAATATTAATACGCGTCCAATATCTTCAGTGCTCACTAAACGGATTGAAAATTTATTGTTAATATTACCGTCAGATACATATTAGCTTGCATCAACGCCAGATGAGATACCACTGGAAGGAGCGCCATCAATGAAAAAGTTGTTAAGTTCATCTAGGTCGTACTGCAGACCATTAATGTCAGAGGGACTGTTTGGGATATTGAGATAGTCCATAGCTTTCCAAAATTCCTTAGAAGATAATTTTTATTTTGACTGTAAAAATGCTTTCTTTTCAGACTGTATTGAGAAGTTGAGAAAATTTCTTAAATTCTTCTAATATTGCAGCGTCTCCTGAGTCTTGTACCTCTTACACCTTAAAAAAGCTTTTTTCTTAAGCTGTTTCATCAATTTTAAGTTGTCTGTCCACCAGGGAGCTGTTCTCTTAGTGATTCTAGCAGTTTTATACGGAGCATGCCAATCAAAGGCGTTAGAGATATTAATATCCCAAAATGAAATAATGTCATCAATATTTTGCATACGATAAATTGCTTGCCAGTTTATCTGCAGTAGGTCATTAACAAAATCATCGTAATCAAATTTAGACCAGTCCCGGTATGTTCTTAAAATAGGAACGAACCTATCAGAAACGAAAATCGTATTACATTCAACTAAAGAATGATCGGAAATGTCATCCATGTTAATAACAGAATGAGATGCAACAATGTTAACGTTTGAAGTAATAATTAAATCTAGTACACGAACCACCGGCTGGACGAGTGCATGAATCTGTAATCTGAAACAGCACATATTCATCTGAAAAATTCAACAAGTTGAGCGGCTATATTGCTTTTTACTTATTGGTTTTACTAAGGTCAATATTAAGATCGCCACCGAAAAGTGTTTCATCATCGCATTTTCCAGCTCGTTCAAAAAGTTATTGACATTAGAATTAGGAGGACGATATAATGTGCCCAAACGAACCGATTTATTACTAATTTTTAGTTTTATCACAACTGTTCCGAGTCGGGTGAGATTGATGAGTCAACTACAGAAAATGATAAGCAATTTTTAATATAAAACGCCACCCCGCCACTTCTAGTACCACGATCCTTTCTTACCAAATTGTAGCCTGGCAGCTTAAAAGTCTCAGCGTCGACAGATAGGTCTAACCATGTTTCTGAAAGTCCCCAACCACAGAATAGTTGGAAGCACATATGAATTCAGAAAAAGAGTCAAACCCTGTAAAAAGAGAACGAACGTTAAAATGAGCAAACGAAAAACATTTTCCTTCTGATATTGGCGTGAAAGTGTGTTCATCATGGTGAGCCCCGAAAATTCTGAAAAGTTGTATGTGTAATGTATGACATATAAATCCGAACACCCAGTTTAAATGGTTTTATTTCAATAAAATTTTGTATAAGTACTTAGTGAAGCATAATAAGTAAATGATAAAAATTTCAAAATGATTGCACTGCTTTGAAGCCGTTTGACCTTTAATAATGTGTGGATGCACCCTGATGTGCTACGCATTCTCCAATGCGCCCATGCTTCTGATCAGGTGGTCAATGTCCTCCTGTGGTATCTCATCCAGGCAACCACCAACTCCTCTCGAAGTGCTTATAGAGTCTGAGGAGGACGTTGCAAATTGAGCAATCTCCTACCCATCATATGCCACACGTGCTCAATTGTCGGGAGATCTTGGTGGCCATGGTAACAATGTGACATCATTATGTTGAAAGAAGTCTATTGTGACTCTTGTAATATGTGGTCGGGCATTATCTTGTTGGAAAGTTGGATCTGCCAGGGTGTCAAGATAGGGTAAAAGGTGGGGTTCTAGAACTACGTGGATATAACGCTGCGCGATCATGTTACCTTTGATGAAGATTAAAGGTGACCTGGAACCATAAGCTATAGCACCCCAAACCATAACTCCAACAGTGTGATGAACATGTCTTTCAACAAAAAACTGTGGATTCCTCCTTTCACCACGTCGCCTTATAACCCTGGCACGACCATCGTGCATGCCTAAACAAAATCGAGACTCGTCACTAAAGACAATACTGTTCCATTCCTGATCCCAGAGTGACCGTTGTCTGCACCACTCTAGGCGATTACGTCGGTGTTCTCGAGTTAAAGGGAGGACCCTGTGTGGCCGGTATGAAAACAAGCCAAAACTTCTCATTCGTCGGTAAACACTTCGCATGCCAATAGGTCTTCCGTGTTCTGCAAACCATTCATTTGCAATGGACCTGGTAGTGGAGAAACGGTCCCTTAAGGCCAATAATCTTAGGCGGCGATCTTCACGGTCTGTTGTTCTACGGCGGCGTCCAGTTCCCCTTGCTCTTTGCGTACGGCCTTCTCGAAGCCATGCCTGACAACACCTAACCACAGTGTCTACACTTCTTTGCACTCTAACTGCAATTGCCCGAAAAGAAAGTCCAGCTTCCCCAAGTCCCACTATACGGCCCCTATCAAACTCACTAAGTTGACGAAATCGTACTCCGTACTCTAGGCATCGTAACCGATCGTAAAGGATGTCAACAACTAAAATCCGCCAACGTTCATTCTTTACTGCGGCTGAAATATTCATTTTTAGAGCGTTAGTGAATTAAAAAAAAGCAGTAATAAAACCGGAATGTCCAACTGATAAGGCTGAAAATTTTTTCACTTGTTATTTACAGTAAGATAAATACATTCACCAACTTTTATTAAAATAAAACCATTTAAACTGGGTGTTCGGATTTATATGTCACTTAGTATATAAGGAATGTACGAAATGAATGACATAAGAAATTACAAAAGTAGCTCTTGCTGGCTCCAGTTACAGAAATGAAATATATATAAAAAATACAAAATATCTACATAAAAATCTCAAAAAAAAAATCCAGTATACAAAAAACATTTCTTAGCAAAACTGTGAGGTACTAGAATTCCATGTTCCACATCGATAAAGTTCACGAAATGAAGCAATTCACCGTTAAATCAATGAATTCATGACAATTTATTAAATTCCAAAAAAATAATGATAAATCAAGCTTAACTGCATTACAAGGCATAAAGTGATACAAAAGTAAACGAAAAAAAGGGTTACACAATATCATCACGGCTGGAAATACACTTTTTGGTGTGACCACACTTAACAAACACTTTGCCAGATGACGGCCAAACATTCCTTGGGCCATACTTCTTCTTCGTCAAGCGTAGCAACTGATAAACCTCCTTGGATAACTCCACGTAGACAAGAATATTACTGCCCTTGCACTTAGCCTTGTTAGCGGACATCACAGATTGTCTTAGCAATAACGTAGTAAATATTACTAACAACACACGAGGTCCTGAGTTTCGTTCCGTGCCCTTAACTCTGAATACAGCATCAACATCCCTACTTTCACAGCTAACGTTTAAATACTGATCAAGCAAATCAATAAGAGTATCCACATGGTTTTCATTTTCAGATTCTGTAAAGCCTAGTATTCTAACAGATCTTCGTTTCTGCAACTGCTCTAAGTGAGCAACTCTGGGCTCGAGGTTTTGTATCTTTTTGGTATGATTAGTACAGTCAGATCTTAGTGTATCTAGTGCTCTAGACATCTCGGAAAGTCGGTCATGGATTTTCTCAAACTTTTCATCAAATTTCTGTTCTAGCTGGGACGTAAATGTGGCACATACCTCAGTTATAAGCTGTTCAGTATTATTTGTACTTTCACATCCACTTGTGTTATTACCCGTGCGGCTTCTATCACGGATTTATCGGTACGGAACAAAAATGCTAACCAGCAGCTCAAGTTGTAATTGACTGGATACTATCTCGCAAACCACCTATTTCCACCTAATCAAACAACTACAACACGTCACCATATGAGTAACAATACTGTGATGCACTTTTTGAAAATTTACTGTTAACTTTAACCATAAAAAATTGGAATTTTAGCAGGCGCTCACAACACACGTGTTTACACTGCCATCACCCGGATACCCCATGCTGTTCTACTTATTAATTGAAAACATGAAAGATGTCATGATCAAACGAGCAATGTGACATATACTAAGTGACATATAAATCCGAACACCCAGTTTAAATGGTTTTATTTTAATAAAATTTTGTATAAGTACTTAATGAAGCATAATAAGTAAATGATAAAAATTTCAAAATGGTTGCACTGCTTTAAAGCCCTTTGACTTTTATTAATGTGTGGATGCACCCTGATGTGCTACGCATTCTCCAACGCGCCTAGGCATGCTTCTGATCAGGTGGTCAATGTCCTCCTGTGGTATCGCATTCCAGGCAACCACCAACTCCTCTCGAAGTGCTTCTAGAGTCTGAGGAGGACGTTGCAAATTGAGCAATCTCCTACCCATCATATCCCACACGTGCTCAGTTGGGGATAAGTCGGGAGATCTTGGTGGCCATGGTAACAATGTGACATCATTATGTTGAAAGAAGTCTATTGTGACTCTTGCAACATGTGGTCGGGCATTATCTTGTTGGAAAGTTGGATCTGCCAGGGTGTCAAGATAGGGTAAAAGATGGGGTTCTAGAACTTCGTGGATATAACGCTGTGCGTTCATGTAACCTCTGATGAAGATTAAAGGTGACCTGGAACCATTAGCTATAGCACCTCAAACCATAACTCCAACAGTGTGATGAACATGTCTTTCAACAAAAAACTGTGGATTCCTCCTTTCACCACGTCGCCTTCTAACCCTGGCACTACCATCGTGCATGCCTAAACAAAATCGAGGCTCGTCACTAAAGACAATACTGTTCCATTTCTGATCCCAGAGTGACCGTTGTCTGCACCACTCAAGGCGATTACGTCGGTGTTCTCGAGTTAAAGGGAGGACCCAGTGTGGCCGGTATGAAAACAAGCCAAAACTTCTCATTCGCATGCCAATAGGTCTTCCGTGTTCTGCAAAGCATTCACTTGCAATGGACCTGGAAGTGGAGAAACGGTCCCTTAAGGCCAATAATCTGTCAAGAACCAAAATCCGCCAACGTTGATTCTTTACTGCGGCTGAAATATTCATTTTTAGAGCGTTAGTGAATTAAAAAAAAAGCAGTATAAAAACTGGAATGTCCAACTGATAAGGCTGAAAATTTTTTCACTTGTTATTTACAGTAAGATAAATACATTCACCAACTTTTATTAAAATAAAACCATTTAAACTGGGTGTTCGGATTTATATGTCACTTAGTATATTTCTAAGCGAGTATGAGAAATATGATTACTTATATGCTGTTAAACGCAAGGCCTATGAAAACATAAAAGCCAAATAAGTAAGGATACCGGAATGACTTAAGAACCACTGATCCTGCACTAGAAGTTATTTATTCAGCTATAGAGCTGCCGCATTGCTCCATTTTCTTCAATTTTCTATACGTTTAAAAACAAATTAATAAAGTAGCAACCATAAAGGAAAGCGTGGTCAGAATGACCTTGACGTGATAAATGGCAGTAAGAAGGTAACAGTTATAGTTTTTTTTTCTACCAACTGCGCATGATTTCGTACGAATTTTCGTACAAAAATGTCTTTACGTGTTAGACAGGTTTGTAATTTGTAAACAAATTGGGAACTAAATTCAGTAACGAAGTTTCTCATAAAAATTGGTACTAAATTTAGCCAAAATGGCGTATCGTGACAAACGGCATTTACTTATTATTCGTTGGCCAAAATTCAGTAAAGGATCCTTCAATTACGGCATTCCACCGGAAGCGAACACCGAAAAAGCTGAGGTTACAAAATTCGCTCATATTGGACCTGTTTGAATATCCAGTACTTATGAAAGAGATACATGACTTTTTTTGTGAAACATCTATTCGCTAAGCTACGGGCTTCGAAAAAGTAGCCGTACTAGAAATTGGAGCTTTCCGAATTGAAAAGTGTTACATTTCTGCACGTTTTGATGAACAAATTGATTTTGAAATTCGAACAAAATAGGGTCCTATACAGGAAGTAAACATTTCAAATCAACATTTGTGTAAGCTCGGTCGTTTTTATTTTTGAGGTTCCACCTCCATGATCATAGTTGAGCGATTTTGGTCTGTACCCATCTAGCGCTCATGTCGTCTTGTTTTGAAATGGCTTCCACCTGTTTAACGGAGGCAGTGAATTGGTATTGCAAAACGTTATTTGTAACATTTTCCGATCGCAACGCTCTCGCAAAATGTAACATTAACTCAGGATGTGTTGATTGTGGAAAGCAAAGAAGATTCTAAAATAAATTAAAACGCTAAGACGCAATAAAATCGAAATAAGTAAGTCTAACCAAAATTAACACGAAATATTAAAATGTTTGAAAAGATCTCCGTCTTCTATCTCCTTCTAACATGTGATAATACACACTTTTCGCGCTTCTCTCTCGTACACATTGAACTTGAGCAGTCAGACAAATTTGGTTTTTCCTGTATACAGGGTGGCCCATGCATGTGTGGACGATATATTACTATAAACAAATACATTTTGGGAAAATCTATTTATATATATATATATATTTTTTATAATTTGTTCAAAATAAATAGTACAGGTAAAGTTATCGGTTTTGCGGATGATACAGCTATTCTGTATGAAAGCAACCAGTGGCATACACTAAAAACCACAATCGAACATGATTTCAAAACATTTATAAATTTCTTTTCGGAAAGAACTTTGACAATTAATTACAACAAAACACACTATATAGCATTTTCTTGTAACGACAGGCTCTCACCACAATTTAAAAAACTTGAAATTCATACAAGCAGTGGTCTCAAAGAGATTCAGTCAGCCGATAAATTAAAATACTTAGGCGTGATTTTGGACAAACACTTAAAATGGGATACCCATACAGAGTACCTTGTGAAGAGACTGAGATGTATTATTCCAAAATTCAGGTACTTCAGAGATATTCTAGATAAGAAATATCTATATAATTTATATTATGCTCTTGTTTATCCTCTATTACTTTACGGAATTTTCGCTTGGGGGGGAGTTATGAATAATAATTACAAAAAGGTTGAGGTAATCCAAAAATTAATACTAAAATTGATCCTCCATAGGGAGATTACTTATTCAAGTGATTTTCTATATGTGGAGGCTCAGCTATTAGATTGCAGACAAATTTATTTTTATTGTGGTCTAATACACTATTTCAAATATTCAAAATACTTTAATCGTACCATTCATAACTACCCAACAAGATTCAATCAAAATTCAATGTGTATTCCACAAACATCAAAAACCATTACACAACGATCTCTGTTTTTCTTGGGACCAAAATTCTATAACTTCATACCAGAGTCATTAAAAGTAATTAAATCAAACAAATCATTTAAAAAACAACTAAAAAAATGGATTTTACAACAACCAAGGTACTCCATCCACGAAATTGTAGATCTGAAAAATCATTATCAAAATCAATAATATTTTACTTACACTAAAATCCATACTTTTACTTCAGTTCTAATTGTCTGAATATTTTTCCTGACATTACCATAATAATTCACCAAATTATACAGTATTAATGGGTTTTTTCTTTTTTTTTTCGTACACTGACTGCACTATTAGTTTTTATTTTGTACAAACCCAAACACAAGTGCAAACTTTTTTGGGTGCTTTATGTTTATTGTGCACAATATTTGATATCTACTTGTATTTTGTGACAATTATTATAAATGACATTTGAGAGCACATTTCTAAAATATTGGCCATTTCGACCTACATATCAAAGTTGTGATTTTTCAAATTGAATGTCTAAAATTTTATTGCATATTTGGATAAGCCAATTCAAAAGAAGAAAATTGATGTAACATACTATGCGGTTTTGATAATTAGCTTCTGAGATAAAAGGTGTTTTGTCTAGAAAAACTCCCAAATTCGACAATCCCTCTTGTTATTATTATTACTGTACTGATGTTTTCATAGTAATGTATCATATTGTATATACCTGACAACGGTTGTGGAATGTCAAGGTCAGTTAAGAACTAGACGTGGTATCGAGCGGTTGTATATGGAGAATATATTCGAATAGTGCGATACTCTTGTTTTTCTTACAAAGCAGCGGTGGGATACCTTAAAATCAGTTGAATTTTCCTACATCATGGGGAAAACTAAATTCAAATCGCGGAATAGAAGTGGGAAGCGGAGCCGAAAGGAATCCTCGAGTGAAAGTGACAGTTCGAGTTCGGCCTCTTCCCATAGATCGTCTTCAAGAAAAACTATAAAGAGATTGAGAAAAGAATTAAACGAATTGAGACGGTACCCGGCAATCATTCGTACGGGAGATGAACTCTTAGTGCCGACGTTTGATCCTAATCGGGACGACGTGATGGTGGATAATGCAGTCCCACTCTATGTCTGTCGCTGCTGACCGGCAGATCGACGGTGGCTGGGGGAAGATGACAGGACGCCAAGACGCGAATGCTTGTCAACCGATTCAACGCAGCGCAATAAGACGTTATATTTGTTTGTTACTTAAGATCGTTGGAATATACGTATATTTATTACTGCAAGTAGTATTGATCGACTAACGGCTCACCATCCTAGACAACATCAGAAGTGTGTGTTTTACGGTGGTTCCCAATTTTAGCAAATATTCTGCAGGCTGTTGTTTG